CAGAAAAGTTAATATCTGTACATGTCCAGACCCTAGTAACTAATTGTAAGAACTAATACTTAGATCCTAATCAGCAGTACTCAATTCAGTTCCATCACAAAAGCCATCGCAGCATGCATCATGTATAAGATCAATTTAGTTTCATGCTCTAGTCTAAAGTGTGCGAAAGCATTTAACATTGCACTCACAATAATAAGAGAGGTATTATTGGGCAATATGAACAAGTACTATCATCCATATTGCCTTACAAAAGGAATCTTAAAAGTGTAGTAACAAAAATGGTTAAAAGCACGAAATTCTTTCACACCAGTAATGTTACATAGAACCATAGGTACAAGATTTGCTGTGATTCACTTCTATTTACACAGCAGAAGGCATGCTTCCGAAAGTTGGTATTCTGTAACCACCAAAGCATTTTAGCCACCTTTCCAAGGAAAAAAAGAAAAAAGAAAAAAAAGAATAACATGAGCTGCAATAGTTGAGGGACTAACACAGTCATTAAATGAGCAAGCATGTTGCAGCTTCTGCCAATAAATCACCAGCCAGAATCTCTTCGATTACATTGCAAAAGAGATAACATCAAATCATCACAATTTTCAGCTTCATAGATGGAGTTTAGAATAGTCTTGGCCACATCTGTTACTAAATCATGATGTGTAAATGGTTAGAGAAAATTCAAACAAGTTCAAGCAACAGAAGGTAAAATCCAGACAGCACCAAGAAAATGTACTGAGGGCTTACCGTTTTGATTACTTCGCAGATGAAATTCTCTGTAATGATGAAATCCAGCTACTTGAGGGGCCAATCCTGTGACCATTTCCATGTACACGGTTTGGAGATTCAGTCGACTGCAACGGTTTAGCAGAATTTCCTCTTGAGCTACCAGCAGGTGTAAATGATGAAGTGGCCATGCGAGAATCATTTAGAACCTACATTATTAATATAGACAACCAGTAAGCCATTATAACACTAAATAACAAACAAGGGAAAATGCAAAATGTATAGTAAGGTATGCCATAAAGAAGACCATTTACATTCATGTCAAGAGCATTATCCGAACTCAAATTCTTTGGAGTTGGTTGTTTAAAATGCAGGCGCACTGCAGGGCTTGAAACATTGTCAGGTCTAACACGATCTGTAGCCTCTGCTGAATGAGTATTAAACCCACCTGAAAAATAAAATATTAAGTCACTCACTTTAAACAATGCAATGGTAAATTTAACACTGAGTATGCATCAAACAGAAACCAAACCTTGACGATTTTCCCCTTCCATAGGGGTTGCATGATGATTATGTGTACCAGCAAGAACCGGCTGAAGTAAGAGGCAATATACCGTACTTAGAATCACAAGTCCGTTCACTCCAATTTCTGCCAATAAAATCATTACATAAAGACACAAATGCTAACCAGGGAAAGATACTTACAGAGACTCGTGGCTGAGTTCTGTTCTTCTGTGACTGCTGGTACTTTATGATTGTCCAGTTAAAAACATAATCAAATTCGTATTCTGCACAAAAACAAATACTTAGGCATCCTGAAAGTACATAGGTCTCATTCAAATAGGAATGCTGTAGAACAAGTTTTGAACAAAACATCACTACCTTCACGAGCAAATAAGTCACGGAACAATCGCTTTAAGAACCCATAATCAGGTCGCTGATCAAATGTCAGAGAGTGGCAGTAATGGAAGTATGAAGCAAACTCCACTGGATGAGACTTGCATAGGACCTTTGAGAATGATAATAAAAATAGATACATAAGCTCACGAATGTATACACATAGCAATGACCCTAGAGATCTGGTTAAACATACCTCAATAGGAGTAGATAACTTCTTCTCACATATTTTATCATATTTTTGCTTCTTCGTGGCAGCTTTCAATCCTTGCCATGGAAGGCTATAATGAAAATTTTAGTTATTAATAGAAAATAAAACAACAATAATAAACTGACAGGAATACCATCCCTATCCCTATCAATGCATGGATTATGATATGCTAATAAAACGTGCTTGAATTGGGATGAACGGAGTTAAAATAATATCCCTTACGAACACCACAACTTTCTTCAGAATGAAGGAGACTCTATTGTGCATAACTAATTAATAGTAGTAAAAACAGTGAGGACAATGGTTTACCTTCCTCTCAAGAAGTAGAGAAGCACATATCCAAGAGATTCCAAATCATCCCGCCGACTTTGCTCTACAAGAAGACAGCAGTGAAGGTAGATGAGATGAGAGTCACAATTCAATGCCAAGTAGAAAACTCATGTGTCTGACTTACCGATACCAAGATGAGTATTGCAACTAGCATAACGAGCTGTCCCTGTTAAGTTTTTATTCTCCCTATTTTATAAACAAAGGAAGGTTGTATACCAATTTGTATATCAGAAATGACTATTTGAGCATGAGTAAGAAACTTAAAAGAAGTTTCAAAAGTAATTGAAGGGATACCTGTAGGAGATATGTCGGTTGGTAGTTGCATCTCGATATCTTTTTGCTAATCCAAAATCTATTATGTAAACCTAATAACAAAATCAAGGCAAGATAAGAATCGAACACAACCAAGAAAGAGAAGTTAGCAAGAACAACTTGAAGTGATTTATCAATAATAAGAACAGTCAACTTAGAAACAGAACTATCACCTGATTTGCTTTGCGTCCAAGGCCCATAAGGAAGTTATCCGGCTTAATGTCTCTATGCAGAAATCCTTTGGAATGTACGTACTCTATTCTTGTGATCTTTGACAGAAAAAAGAAAATGAATGAAACATGAAGCTACTAGTCACGGAAGAGAAGAGACCTCAAAGCATTTAACACTTGTAGATAAACACGAACATCCAAGACAAGAAACAGCAGGAGGAAGTGATGCATACCATTTGATCAGCCAACATCAAGACTGTCTTCAGCGAGAACTTCCTCCCACAATATACAAAGAGATCTTCGAGACTTGGTCCCAACAAATCAAGGACAAGCGCATTCTCCTCCCCGTCTATACCAGACCATTTAGTAGCAGGAATACCACCTGAGTTAAGACGAAAACAATAATCAGCTAACAGCAACTTCAACAAATGATAATCATCCACCGCTTCAACACAAGCATTGAACTACACAACATGAAAATTATATCAAAATCGCCTACGTACTTCCTCCTTGAAGAATATTATACAATTTAGCCTCATAAAGCAGTTGCGGATGCTTCGTTTTATTGTTTTCCTGACAAAGAAAACCAAACACATCAGTAAACACCGCGAAAAAAGCCCGTCTCCATTTCACCGACCAAATTTCCACGCACGGAAACATCAACTAAGATGCATCCGAGAAAGTATCCACAAAATACAGAACCAATCGAACAAAAGAACGAGGCGTACTTCGGCAACCACAACACAAACCACAGAGAAACTAATCAATCGTTCAGAACTTACTATTTTCACAGCGACGATTTCGAACGTCTCAATATGAGTAGCTGAATCAACACAACAAACAAAAACACACAGAAGAAATCACAATAAATCTCAGTAGTAAACAAAAAACTTCATACAAAAACACTAAGCTAAAAATTCGAACACATCGGCTCCATACAACTCACCGAGATAGATTTCCCCGAACGATCCGCTACCGATCTTGCGGCCAAGCTTGTACTTGCCGCCGATTACGCGCTCCATGTCGAAAGATCAAGTGGATCGGAATTCCGGAGATCGGTCAGAGCATGAACACAACGAGGGTTTCGAAGGTTTAGAAGATCAAATCCGCAAACAAAATTCAAAAAAAAGATATATATATATATATATATATATATATTAATAAATATATATTTATAGATACATAAAAATACGAATAAATAATTGTGTATAGAGAGATAAGAAACGAAAGCCACAAAAACGAAGACGAGGACCAGCAGCCAAAGGCCAGGGGTAGTCTTCTTCCAATTCTGCCTTGGACTCCATTGGATAAACTTGAAAGGTCTAGGGGTACTTTCGGAATTTCATCCTACGTGGATTTATTGACCTGTTCACTATTTGATTCTGTATTCAATATTATATTTAATATTTTTATCGTGTTGGCTTTTTTAATATATTATATTTTGTTTTGTTTTTTTAATATATTCTATTTTGGCTGCTCTGTGTTTTGGCGCTATTATAACTATGCAATTCCCGGCTTCTTCGCATGTCTCCGTCTCTTTTCATTAAAGTAAATTTTACTAATTTTTTATTCGTTAAATTAAATTAAATAATTCTTTTAGTATATATATAACTTTTTTTGGCTTTAAAATAATTCGATTTTTCTTATTTTATGATTTTAAATCATTTATCTATAAATAATATACTAATATTTTAAAATAAAAAGATAATAATATATCCAAAAATTTTAGAACGTATTTTTCTAGAAATTGATTGGGTATAGCTAAGGTTCATGGGCCCAATTGGATGGCCCAATCAAATTGGCCCATCACGTGGCACTCTAACCTAATAAAATGGATCTGTGTGGACGTTTAGGTCTGAATTAGATACTTGGACGGCAGTTGGAAGAGGATCAAGTTGGCCCTTCTGAACCAGCTTGATACACTATCTCCCTTCAACTCTTTGAGTCAAATGCAGTTCTCGTCTCCATCCCGTAGGAACTACGAGATCACTCCAAGGACGCTTTTGGTATCGAGGGGTCACGGACTGACCATAGAACCCTGTTCAATACGCATTAGCTGTCCGCCATCCAGTTGGGCAGTAAGGGTCGGAAAAGGGGCAAGCCTTATTTCATTGCTGGACTAAAATAAAATGCAATTAAAAATAAATAAGGAAGACATTAATGTATTTTTTACTAAAATTAAATTTTAACTAATTGGAGGACCAAAGTGCAATTAAAATTCCTTACAAAGGATTACTTATATATTTTGGAAAAAAATTGCAAAAAAAAAAAAAAACTCATAATTTCTCGAGAAATAGTATAAAAACAGCCTTAGTAAAATAATTTAATTATTTAAAATAAAATCGGTGGGGAAAAATAGACACAGAAGGAATTTAATTTAATTTGATAAATCAAATTAAATCGCTCATAATCACTTAATCTGAATCCAAGTTCCCACACTCGGAATTCCACGATAAACCACAAACAGCATATAAAATCCAGGCGGCGCAATGATTCCAGATGGCGGCGCCACCACCGTCGCACTATAAGTTCCGGCGCCGGTCCCCGCCACTTGCTTATTCGCCAACACAACAAGCCTCTGACTCATGGAATATCCGTGCGTCGTGAACGGCGGCGGATACATCGTGACTCTAATGTCATTTTTCTGATCAAATTGGCCCTCAATTAACAAATTGAATTTCACAACGTAATCCTTTCCATATTGCCAGGGGAGCACCAATTCCTCCGCCAGGATGGCCGGGCGGTATGCGACGTACATCGGATCAAGGTAGGGCGGAGAGAACTTCTCGACCCTCAATTCCGTCGGGTATTTGACAGCTTGGAATAGGTAGCCGGCGTTGGTGTTGCTGCCGGCGACGAGGATTTGGCCATCGGGGAGAACGGCGGAGGAGGAGTGGTACATTCTGGGGATTCTGGTGGGGACTAGTTGTTTGAATCGTTGACCTTGTGGTTTGTCTGGGGAGTAGAGAATAGGCGAGTAATTAGGGCTTTCGGCGAAATTCCACGCCGCTGTACCAGTGGTAGCGCCGTTGAGAAGCAAAAGATCGCCGGTTGGGAGAATTAATAAGTCGCCCATTACTCTAGGAGATGGCATTTGTTCCTTCCTCCAAACGTCTTTGGGATTTGTGATCTCTAGACGAGCGCAATCTATCAATGCCGGCATGAAGTTCCCCTTCTCCGCCAACCGGTATGACTCCGGTTTAGCTCCGCCGCATATAATCACCTAATCAAAACCATCCAAGTATGGTAATTTTAGTGGCATAAATAGAGATGTCCATGAAGCGGGGTGGGGAACGTTCCTAATTCCTAAGAATTGTCCGACTATGGTAATTTTTTAGTTTAGTAATAGTTTAACATACCTCGGCTGGAATTGACCCTGGATTCACGAGTGGAAGCTTGAGAGGGAGGAGTGCCGACATTGCCGACGCGGGGTAGTTTCGGGAACCGCCTTCCAAAACCGGGTACTCGTGAAGGACGGTATGAGTCTTAGGATCAAACAAGATTGAACGGCTATTGGCGAAGATGAAGACATTGCCATCAGTTGAAAGATAAACAAACGGGTAAAGATTATTCTCATCCAAATCAGTTGTTTCATCAAGGAACGGTAATTTGATAGCTCTTGGATTGGATTTTCCTTCCGCCGGAACAAATTCAACGCTGTAAGATCTCCGGCCACCGACCAATAAGAAACCACCATCCGACATGGTGATCTGAGTCGAATACCACCGTGGACGAGCCAATGCCATCGGATAATCCTTAAAATCACAAGTCTCGCACGGAGTAATGTATCGAACGGTTTTGGTTCCATCCCTCCAGCCGCCCGTGTTCACCAATCTTCCTTCGACGTCGAGCCCTCCCGACGAGCACCATGGATCCGTAGCCATCTATCATTATTCATCAACCGTTAACACATAGAAGTAATTAAATTTATCTTAACCTATTAGCTTAAGTTTTATGGATCGAGTACGATGTTACGAACCGTGAGTGGTCTAACATTGCCCGTTTCGATATCGTACTCGACCCCATGAGCCCAACAATCTTCCATCGCAGCGCCTTGATCGGTCGTGTACGGAAAACATTTGCCACCGGGCAACTTGATTTGTGAAATGTGAAATGCAGCTGCATCAAACATGATCATCTTATTATTTGGCAACAAATTCATGTGCATAGCCGAGACGGTGGAGTTTCTAGAGACCAACTTCCACATCCCTATATTACTCGTCTCGAAAAAGCGCGCTCCCGACCCATCCACCGGTCGAGGACCGGCTTTAAACGTAATGCCCGGTAGGTTCTTAGTCGGAGTGGCTGCATCTTTCTTACCGGCGTCATTGGTTCCGGTGTTAGGGTTAGCCAATATCTCTTTCAAGCCGGGGGTGAGGGAGTTAGGGCTGGAGCCATAGGCCCCGCCAACGGTGTTGAAATCGGCGGGGACAAGGTCGAAGAAGAGGACGAGGAGGAGAAGGAGGAGAAGGGAAGCTGCCTTGAGAAAGGCCGCCATTGAAGTTATGAGTGACCTTGTTCTTCAATGGCAGCGTTGTGTTTATAATAACACAAATGCCTTCTTTATTCGTGTGTTTCTCAGCTATTGTCTCCCTCTCTAATGCATTTTATGGCTCAAAGAAATCAGTTAAGGGATCATTAAAATAGCTTCTATGGTTCCTCGTTTGAAGGCAAAACTCAACTTAAAATTTACTAATTCTAGCTAATTAATTAAAGGGAAATTAAATATTATAAATTTTTTTGGGTTAATACAAACGTTTTTAAAAAGTTAAATTACAAATTTACCCCTAACTCACCCTCAAATTTGTTTAAAAATTATAGAGCCTAGATTATTACGTCATAAACATTTATTAATTTTCTCAATTTTTTTTTAAAATATATAACTTCTTAATAAATTCAATTATATTTTATATTTTATGAGCAAAAATATAATATAAATTATACCCATATATATATATATATATATTAACATTTTGCTCAACTTTCTTCCTTATACGAACATCTCTAAAATAAACTAATTTTCTCAATTATTTATATATTTTAAATGAGTAATTTCTATTTTTTAATATAATTTTAATTAAAAAAAAATAAAATATTCTAATAAATTTACTAATATTTTATGAGCAAAAATATAATATAAATTATACCTCTATATATATATATATATATATATATATTTAACATATTTGCTCAACTTTCTTCCTTATACGAACATCTCTAAAATAAACTAATTTTTTCAATTATTTATATATTTGAAATGAGTAATTTCTATTTTTAATATAATTTTAATAAAAAAATAAATAAAATATTCTAATAAATTCACTGATATTTGATAAACAAAAATATAATATAATGTTTTCCGATTCTTAGTTTAAACAGTTAAATGAACATCTCTAAGATAAACTATATAATAGTCGATATATATATATATATATATATTTATTTATTTATTATTATTATTATTTTTTAAAGCTTAGTGTCAAAATCAGTTTCCCCACTAATACAAAAATAGTGGCATTGGTTTTTCAATCACTTTCACATGAATGTTTCAATTTCCATTCAAAGCACCTTCTTCATTTCTTTTCACTCTTATTCCAATCACTAACCGCTTTATGGACATATAAAACTTGGATAATATTCTCATGAACGTTTAAAAAAACGTTCTATAAGATTGATCTTGTTCGTTTTAGGAAATAAATTCATATCGATTGTCCTTAGATCCGTATTTTCTTTGTTCATTACCTAGCTGCGATATTCGAGAATTTCTCACTATATCATCAGTGAAAAAAGTTTTTATAAATAAAATATTAGGAGTTTGCAGAGACTGAGTCTTATGGAGATAGGCTCCGAATACGGAGAATGAGGGAGGAGACGAGGCGAAATTACATTCTCATCCACGTCCCCAACCCGACCTCGCCCCAATCTTTATCCTACCCGGCAAAAATGAACGTAGAATTTTGCGAAAAATAAAAAATTTAAATTATTTTTCTTATTATTTTTTTTAATAAAGTTTCAACTGTTGATCAACAGAGTACATAAACAAAAAATGCTCAAAACCAATGAATCAGATAAAGTTTATGTATTTTTCTTATTTTTCTTTTTACTTTAATTTCTTATTAATTAAGAGAATAAAAAATAAATCAATCAATCAAAATAGTGTAACTGTTTGATTGCTATATGGTAGACCTGAAAGGAAGCAATAAAGTCTTTGTCTTCACTTTCACAATTTATAAAGAAATATATTGGACTTGTGCATGCATGCATATTTATATATATTTATATAAATATAAAAATAATAATTACAAATAACACCCTATAATTTCCCCATTTTACAAACCACACCCTTGTATTTCTTTTTTTTCCCAATAGTTTCAAACTTCTCAAAACAACCCTACACTTTTATCAAAATTTACCCTTTTAACCGCTGTTTGAATCCATTACGGTTTAATTATACGACGGTTTCGTGAAAGCTTGTATGCTCATACTCTCAGTAAGTTGTTGGTCGGGATCGTGAGACTGTCGCTCGAGAATTCGATCGGTTCTATTAAATTGACAATCTAAGCTCCAAATCCAGTTCACTCGATTCAGAATTCTGGCTGCTTGATCTCATTGAATCACCCCCGTATTTTACATTTATGTTCCCGTGAATTGAATCCTGCATTTTTTTCGAATTATGAAAATTAGATTTTTTTTTCATATAAATTTGTGGGAAATTACATTAAAATTAAGTTAATTTAAGGAGAAAAATATATTAACTGACCTGTACATGAGTATTGAAAAGGTGTCCGGTCATGTTTGGTTGCCCGAAATGTTGGGTCTCCAAGAATGTATGAGTTGGGTCCCATCTAAATTATCACAAATTAATAAATAATTAGCAATTAATAGTAAATTAAATATCTAAATTTACAAATAATAATAATAATGTAATTATGATGGATAAATAAATCTTACGTTACCTTAGAGAGGTTGTTGGCTGAGAATCACCATATCCCTGGGAATCCATTTAAAGTAAAAATAAACAAATAAAATTACAATTAAAATTAAATAAATAAATAAATTTATTCAATAATTATCAAATTCTTACGAATTTTATCCATTTATTTTTTAGGATTAATGTGATTTATTTAAAGGAAATCTTTAATTTTTTTTTTTTAATTTTTGAGATCATAAATTAAATCTTTTCTCGGGATCTGTTAATATGAGTGTAACTTAGTATTAAAACGTTCCGTTTGAATTCATACAGAGATTTACCAATTAAACGTTTTTATTTATGGGAGTTCATAAATTCAAATATTTGTTGGTAATAAAATATTTTTATTTCTATGAAATTCTAGAGAGAGAAGGAGTTTAGAGAGAGAGAGAGAGAGAGAGTTACCATAAAGTTTTGGCGGAAGCCATAGGAAGGAGATGAAGACGACGCCGTTTCAATTCTCATGTCATCGCTCTACATGAACACAAAAGAAACCCTAAATCATAAGAAGAAATATTATTTTTAATTTCTCTTCTTAGAGAGAGAGAGGGAGAGATTTACGGCGGAGAGATTTGGATACGGGTGGCCGTAAGCCGCACAACCCATTTCGCCATGCAATCTGATCTTCTCCAACTGAGCAACTCCCAACCCTCTCTGCGGCTGCTTCGGCTTCTCTCCGCCGCCTCCCTTCCTCCCTCTCCTCACCACCGTCGCCACCGCCGCCGCCGCCGACGGCGACCCACTTCTCCTCTTATCAATATAATTGTTCCCCATATTCATCTCCCCAAAATAGCCACTCCCCATAAGAGAGAGAAACAAAAAGGTAGAGAGAGAAAGTGGAAGCGTTGTTCGCCGGGCGGCAATCTGAGAAACCAGAGATCTCCAAAGCCCTCTTTTTAAGCTCTTTTTCACAGTCCCAACAATTATTGCACCGCTGGATCAGATTGTCTCTACGATTTCTATGTTATTTATACTTAGATTTTATGTTCTTTTATTTTTTTTATTTATTATATAATATTACCAATCATAAATGTTTTTTTTTTAATTTTATTTTAGTAGTTAAAAATTTAAATATTTAATCTACCATAATATAATTATCCATTTTTCACAATTATAATATAAAAAAAATTATTTTAAATTTATATCTATTTACCGTAAATTATACCATGACAACTTTCAGACACTTATGCCCGATCGCGAAATTACCTGTTGAACTTCTGATGGCACATTGCTTTGACCTATTAAACAATAGCCATGTGGTGACACAGTTCTTAGCTCCGGACAACAAATTATCATTTTTTTACCATATTTTAAAATTGGCTAATATATTTTACGTACATTATTATTTGAAAATAGATAATCGTAAATTATAAAAATTCAGTTAAAAAAATCTCTTTCACACCTCTTTTTTTTAATATAATATTTGAGATGTAAAAAAAGAATTTAATTTTTTTAATTATAAAATAAATATTATTTTATATTTTCTGTTTCTTATTATTGAAAAGTCTTAATAGATTAATTGTGAAGAGAGATTATATTAAAATAATAATTCAAATAAAAATATTATAAGATTAAATCGTGATTCATATGACTTTTTTTAATTATATATTGTGTAAACATTATGATTGGCGAAGAAGACCAAAGTTATTCCAAATTTAAAAATTAAAAAAATACGAAAATTATTCAAATTTCACGCGCGCGTTTGCGTGTCCAACTCTTACTTTGACTTTATATATGGGAATTTACGTTTTAATTTTTAGGGTTTATTGGAGTTCCCAACCATGAAATAAAATTATTTAAAATATAATAATTAATTATCATATAAAATATTAATTATCATATAAAATATCTATAATTTAATTAATCATTTTTTAATAATTGAACTAAACAATGTGAAAACGTCATCTAAATTATTGAAATTTTATTCTTACCTAAAATTTAAAGAACTCGTACAGAGATGTTTATAGGGTGAGGTGGGGATCGAGAAGCCTTTTCCGTTCTCATCCTGCATTCTATTTCAAAGATGGGGACTAAGAAGCTTTTTCTGTTCTCGTCCTGTATCCTATTTTCAGAGATTTATTTATTTATTTATTTTGGTGCTGAATTTTCCCGGAGAATAAATCTAATAATATTTCATAAACAAAAAATATATTACAATTTTTAATAAAAGTTCAACATTGCATCCATAAAGTGAGGTAGCTTAGGGCGAGAA